GAATTCAGGACACTCAGACCATCCCAGGGAGCTCTTCGAAAGCTTTTTGATCGAAATCTGTTGCTTTGTTTGTTTTGCAAAAACCTTGACAGCTGCAACGATTTGTTTCAGTCTCGCATTGATATTTGTCCATGAAAACCACTACTTGCCGGTGGCGATGATTTTCAGAGCTGTGCCCACAAGGTCACGAGCCACGCCCAAATGAAATGTGTGCATGTAGTCGATCCTGATCATGGATAGCTTGAAGTAGTGAAGTTTGGCATAGGCAGGCTCTTCTTTCCAAGGCAGCTCAGAGTTGCCATCCTCATGCATCGTTCCCCGCCACCCAGCTGCTTCTGAAACATCAGTATATACAGTACTGAAATTTTGCCGTCCCATACTGGCCTTGCAAAAGAAGCAAACCTGCATTGGATAGGAATAACCACAAGAAATGGATTACCAGCCTCACTATAGGATTCGTATACAAGTTGTACAGGTTTTAAAGCTAAAAGCCCAAGCCCCAACAAACATTGGAACAAAAAACTCCTTAATGAAAGATCCTGCCATGTGCGGCCTTTGGACCATCTCGGCGCCCGGCTTGCGGGTGAGATTGAAGGCCTGGCACATCTGTTTCAGGTCACCTCTGAATCCCACGGGAATGAAGTAGTATACCTGAACAGGGAGGATTGGGGTCCGACAATTACAGAGTGAGCTTGGGGGGCTGGTTTAGACACAAAGCACCTCGTCACCCACCTGCACACCTTCTTGGCTCAGCTTGTTGAAGTCGGCCAGAATAGCAGAATTCAGGGTCTGAAGTGTTACATTCGTCTTGCCCCGCATAAGGTAGCTTTGCACCAATAATGAGTACATGATGTTGCGGGAGGCTTTCGAGTCAGTGCGACATTTGCCGAGATCAGCTGTCCTATGCACAATCAGAGGTTTGAGAAGCCCTGCACCCCTAATACTTGAACATTATTATAGTTTAACAGGAAATAACTATGCAGACCATGCAGTCAAAGTTCCACGTAGCCAACATCCATGAAGTACGGTTGAGCGTCGCTTCATCGCCCCAGATGATTATAGGAATGCAACGATGATACAAATCAGGTCGCCCATCCAACAAAGGAATACTCAACTCTTGCAGCGTAGCGTCCCAGTACTGCTCCAGCTCAGCTCTGCGGGGGATCATGGTGTTCAAGAACCCTTCTTGCAGAAGGCACCTCGCCTTGGATCAGGTTTTGGGTTTAGGGTTTAGGGGGTTTTTGGGTTGTGGAGTCAAACACATAGGCTTTAAATGTGGGTTCAGGATTTGATTGCCATCGCACCCAATGTCAAAAGAACTGGCTTGTGTATACCCCGTAAAGATCGAGAAACGAGGTTGGAAGGAAGAAGAATTGGGAATGCTTGAATGATCTCTTCCTCCAGATCGTTCAATGCTGGGGCATTAACCCATGTCAGCTCGCAATCGAAAGACATCCCCGTTCCAGATAATCGCGAATGAAACTCGGCCTCTCGTAGAGGCCTGCTGCTGTATCCATCCAATAATCGAGATCCATAGCCATCTCCTTAGGGCTGTGGTTTGGGTTTTGATAGGGGTACCCATTTTTATGTTTAGTGATCTAGATTATGTTGCAATTAATCCGAACCCCAGCAATGCTAGCAAGGCACCCAGATCACAGGCAACAGTCAATGACGTGCCACCAGCACACGTAGCCCGAACAAGCCTCAGACAGAGAGCTTGAGGCTTCTACTTTCAATCTAAGTGGGCAAGAATGCAATGAAGTATTACAGGTGTATGGGCAAATAGAGCTTGGGGTTATGGCTTTGGTTAGATAAGATCAAGCAGCTTCTGATCGAGGACATCGGCCACCGACGTGGCAGACTTCAGGGCACCTGCGCGGCACATGAGGGGCTACTGCAAACATCAGATTATATCAGATCGACAGCATTTTTCGGGTTGCAGATCCTGCTTTTGGCCCCGGGGAATTGCTCGAGATTGCACACTATCCACATGCAATTGCATATGCTATTAAAGGGGGCAGATTTGCCCGCTTCACTCGCACCCCAAGACCCCCTGCTCTAAAGCATCCACCTGCGTGCAATTTCACACAGGTAAAACACCTATCAGGAGGATCATCGTCAGACTTACCGAGTCTCTGCTTTTTTGTGAAGATGAACCTATATATTATCACCTGGCAGTACCAGCACCCCTATACTACTTCAGTCTGGGAAAGCAGATCTCGGAGGTCCTAGCTCCCCTGGCGGTCGGCACAAATGAAACCCACACAGTACTTTATATAGCATAGCCCATAGCTCCAGCGGCATCTTGTTAAAGACCTAAATCCCATATTGCACTGCACCGATCGTTACCCTACCAAGAAGACTCAGCCCGAGCGTTTGCTCAGCTCCTTCATGTAGCCTTTGGCTTGGCCCTTGCACAGCAGAAGGCTCTGAACCTGGGTCGAGACACAAACTCCAACCCCACAATAGCCTGGCCCTAAACCCCGTATGCGTCAAGCCCTACAATCGAACGTTCAGCAGTTCAGCAGAGGTTCAAGGCTAAACAACGGTTTAAACCACTGCGGTCCCAAGGGGCTTCGTCGTGGATCTTCGAGCACTGATCATCCATTTCTGCGCTCTCGGTGGCCGGATCGAGTTGGTTGAACCTCGGCCAGCCATTTTGGGGCAGTTGGGATTGCGATTTGAAACAGTTAATGACTAGCAGCTTCTTGGCCATGGCCTTGAGCTTCTTCTCATGGCTTTTCAAGTCCTTCACAAGCCTTGTGCCATCATCACACAAGTCCTGTCCGAAGTCCATGAGGAGGTCGCTGATAGAGTTGATGTTCTTCTTGACCTCCTTGCCTTGGATGACAAAAAGAGACAAGAGTTTAGGGTTTAGGGTTTTAGGGTTTAGGAGCTCGGGGTTTAGCATTCAAGGGGATTTGGGCGAATGCACAACATGACAAAACTGCAAGTGGAAATGCCAACACATATGTGCTAATTAGTGGCACCACTTGGTATGCTTGTCTTTGGGGCAGTTAAACACCTCGTTGATCAAGCTGGTCTTGACCGTCGTGGCAAGCGAGCCCGCTACCGAAGCGGCCTTGCGTGAGCCACCCCCGGATTGAGGTCGGCGGTTGTTGCTGCGGCCTCCTGCATACATATTGATCACAACTGAGCACATGGGGTTTGGGAGTGCAGGCTTGAAAGCTTGATGGTCAACATGGATTATACACTATGGTCCTGTGTTTGAACTCGCATTAGCTGCAATCTGGCTCATCGATTCTTTCATCCGATCATGAGCCCTCAGGACATCAGCTTTCAGCGGTGCCGACTGGGTGGCCGGGGCTTTCTTCGAGAGCAGGCCGGGATCAGCTCCGGGAATAGGTGCATCAAAGAAGGCAGTGCCGGGCTTGCAGTTTGCAGAGAGATCCTGATTGAGCCTTGGATCGACAAAAAAATTTATGAGGTTTCATTGAGTCACGGCCGGTGCATGCAAGCGACCTATGCAATAAGCAGAGTAGGCATCCGAGGAACCTATAATCAGTGCTTTCTGTCTGGGTCCTTTGCACGACAACCCAATACAAGGTATCCTCTAAGGAATCCGGCGCTTGTTCATCCCTTTCCCCCACTTGTGTCGCAATGATATGTTGCACTTTGTTCCTTGGATCAGGTTCGCAGGATCAAACGGGTGACGCACATGCTCTCACACAACAAACTGCTACTCGAAACAATCAATCCTTCATGCAGGATCAGCATGCTGATGAATGCGCCGAGAGTCTCGCTGAAGTTATGTGGGGGAAGTGCCATTGCTTTGACTGGGATCTGTGCCCAGACTTTCTTGCCTTTAAGGGCTTGCTCCTTGCTGATCCGGATCCGAGATTCACACGCTTGCAGGTTCATGCCACAGGAAATCCATTGTCGTAGCAAGCGGTTCCTCTCCTTAGCAAGCACAGATCTATCTACTGTAAAAGCGTGCACTCAGATCACTTCCGTACATGTGCACACAAACACAAACCATATCGGCTCAGTCGATGCAATCGTGCGGCAGCAAGAGTGCCCTCGTGCAATGCCAGCATGTTGGGGTAGTCGGCCAACGCACCAGATTCATAGCGACGACTCTTAGATTGCAGATGGACATTACATACAGACCGAGAACACAACCACATAAGCTGATCCAAGCGGCGAGTTTCGTATATTCCTTGCGGTGGGTCTGCGAGTTCACCCGGGTGTCATCCTCTGCAATCTCATCACCACCAAGGCTGTCGGCACCAATGGCCGCCAACGATGGCTTTGGCACTGGAGCAGCCTGGCTCTTGATGTTCACACCATTGAGGACTGCCAAGCTGGGCCCAGCCGAGGAATGAAACACAGGCTCCTTAGATCTCCTCAGGGTGGCCTCAGGCTCCTTAGATCTCGTCGGGGTGACCTCAGGCTCCTCAGATCTCGTCGGACTGACCTCAGGCTCCTTAGATCTCGTCGGGGTGGCCTCAGGCTCCTTAGATCTCGTTGGGGTGGTGAACTCAGGCTCCTTAGATCTCACCGGCGTGGCCACGGGTCTTTCGGGTGCTGCAAGCTCGGGTTTGGCCTCGGTTTGCCCAGTCCCAAGACTGCTGCCACTGATTTGGCTTTCAAGCTCGGCTTTCTCACTCTCAAGCTGCTGCACCCTCAAAAGGAGCTGCTGCACATCTCCGAGCTGGCTGGCTGGCTGAGGGACCGATCCTTGGCCGAGGGAAGTTGTTCTGAACATGATTGCACATCTCACAGACACTCGTGCAGTCATGCAGCAATACATGTTTGGATGCGGAGAAGCCACGACAATGTGGACTGTGAATCGGCTCTGATAGGCGCTGCGTGGCTGGCCTGCTGACACCGACGCTTGGCTTGAGAAGCCAGGAAGGTAGTCCCGGACCTCATTTCAAGCAAGGATCGATTCGTCTATTTGGAAAGAAGCCAGGAAGGTAGTCCCGGACCTCATTTCAAGCAAGGATCGATTCGTCTATTTGGAATGGTTTGATTTCAGTAGACCGTTGCATGAAGTCATTGCAAGCCAAAACACAGCTGGCTCACCTGACTGTCGTCCCCATTGTCTTGCTCCTGTAGATTGTTCACCATCATGTTTCTGTATTAAATTATCATATATGACTCACTATAGCGTCTCCTTCAAGGCCATAGGTTGCTCAGAATTCGGCAGCTGGCTCATCGGGCTGGCCGGTACCAGCTGCACTGCCGGAAGCTCCTGGTGCTTCTGGCGATCGGCCTCCAACTCACTCAGCTGCGGTAGTCCCTGGCGCCACAACTCATATTCACACCAGATATCATCTTCATCATCATCGCCATCGCCGGCATTCCAGTCCCAATCATCAGAAGTGGGCTGTGCGGGCTCAGCCGGCTCGGGGATGCTTGGCAAAGCCTGCGGGGCTGGTGAACTCTTGCGCATGACTCGCCTGGCTGGCACAGCTTCGGAGTCAGGCATCGAGAGGTCTGAGTGTGCCCTTCCTCGCTTCAGTTTTGGGACAGGCTCGGCTACCTCGGCTTCGGCGGTTTTTCCTCGCTTCGACTTTGGGGTTGGCTCGGCTGCCTCGGGGCTGCGCTCGGCTACCTGAGCTTCGGCGGTTTTTCCTCGCTTCGACTTTGGGGTTGGCTTGGCTGCCTCGGGGCTCGGCTCGGCTACTTCGGCTTCGGTGGTTTTTCCCCGCTTCGACTTTGGTCTGGGCTCGGCTGTTCGGGCCTCCAAGCTTCGTCCTCGTTTGGACTTTGGGGGCTCCTCACTGGCCTGCTTTGCTCTGCTGGGCCTAGCCTTTGGGGTGACTTGGTTCTTCTCACCAGTTCTCTTCGTCTCCTGGAAGGCCAAGTACACGGTCACGGCTTCTTCATAAGTGAGCTTCTCACTGTCCATCAAAGTTTTGAGGGTCAGCCCTCCTACTCCCACTTCTGTGTTCAGGGGGATCGAAGGAGGCTTCCACTTGGCAGGCTTCGTTGACACATTGTTCTTGACATCCGCTAAGGCCGCCTTCAACTGCACACCATTCTTCAGAGCATCCCGTGTGCCCTTGTAGGGGCCCATGGCAAGAAGCAGCAGATATATCTGCTGCTTCAAAAGCAAAGAGCTGAGACAGCTGTGATCATCATGTGGCACATGCATTGCATTTGTCAGAAAGTAGAAAGGCACAAAAATCACGCGTTATAACGCTCATTTGGGCTGTTTATAACGTACATCGGCACGGTTTTTCACGCTGCACTTTTGGTGCCACCAGGCTGACACTTCAGAGACAGGGCAGAACCCAAACAGAGCCCCCTATGCAAGATCTCCACGTTAGGCCCCATATATCATTAAATTTTTTATTGCAGTCTAGTTCATGCAAGTCGAGGGCAACATGTGTGAACCGGCACACAGGCAAAGCCTCAATTAATTGATCTGCTAGCCAAGGACTCCACGGACCAGCGGGGCCACGGAAGCCCCAATCACCTTGGCTGCAAGTCATTAGCTGCTGCAACGACATGCATTGCGTGCTGTGAGAGCAATCGAATGCAGTCTAAAGTCAGTCTCCGAGGCATCTTTTCTCTTGCCTGCAGTCATCCTTGGATGGCATTGAGGTTTGGGGTTAGGATCATGCCAGCATGCATATATTGTGTCCATGGTGCGTGCCCTAGCTCGGGTCGGCCTGGAATGTGCATGGTGTGTGCCGGCTGTGTGCTGGTGTGCCTGCAGTGTGCCTGCAGTGTGCCTCGAGTGTGCCTAAAGTGTGCCTAAAGTGTGCCTAATTGTGCCTGGGGGTGGGCATTTAGTGCGTTTGTAGTCTTCAGGCAGTGTGCCTGAAGTGTGCCTAAAGTGTGCCTGCGGCTGCGCCGGGGGGGTGTGCCTGCCGGGTGTGCCGGGGGTGTGCCTCCTATGTGTGTGGCTGCTGTGGTGTGTAAAGTTGTGTTCCACGTGTGCACTTTTTGTGTGTTGTGCCTTTGGATCATGCACATGGAAAGCATGCAGTTGCATGTGTTGGAGATTCTAACACAGATCAGCCTGCCGATTCATGCTTGGGAAGGGAGGGAGAGAGAGAGACAGAGAGAGAGAGAGAGAGAGATCTCGAGCGAGACTCTTGGCAAGAGCATATGAGAACCTGAGCCCGGGCTAGAAACCTCGAAATTAGAAGCATCCTGGCTGAGACTTCATCACCCAAGGCAGCACAGCCAAGTCGCTGGAGCAATCGAGGACGGATCGTGTCCTCAGCTGTGCTCTATAGCTGTGCAGTCCCGAGAAACCCGTATAGCATATGGCCCCAAAACTGCAAAGCCCTCTCTCTTTTTTGCGCACACCAGCATGGCCCGGCTGTTCACGTGGAATCTGAGCTGTCAAAGTAGCACGAACTACCAAGGACCAGGGTGGCCTGCGAATCCACTGACTCTTTCTTCTTGAGAGTTGACGGTCTCGAGTCTGCCTTCTTGAGAGCTGACGAGTCTGCCTTCTTGAGAGCTGCCGAGTCTGTCTTCTGAGCTGCCGAGTCTGTCTTCTGAGATGGCGAGTCTGTCTTCGATCGTCTCGGCGGTCTCGACCTGGAGCGGTCCCTGTTCTCCAGGATCTGCTGCTGCTCTACCTCCCTGGCATCGGCGACCGCGCTGGCATCGGCAACACCATGCTCACCGCAGCTGGCTGCACTACCCGGCTCCACCTTCACTCTAGTCTGGGTAGGAGAGGTCTGGGAGTCGTCGTCGTCCACATCTATAACAGCAAAGAGCGGCTGATCGAGATCAACCTTTGGCCTCGGCATAGGCTTCGTAGTCGGCTTCATGGCTTTCCATTCAGCAGACGGCTTCATGGCTTCCCAGGCACAGAGCTACCACTACCTCAAAAATTTAGGGCTGGCTTCGATCCTGTAAATGAATGCATCAGACAGATCAGATTGCAGATTGCAGCGGCCGTGCATGACACACACACACATAGACAACACACGCAGCCATGCACTGTGTGAGTATGCAGCATATTGCAGGCTAGGCTCCCATTGACCCTTCAGGACCACGTCCTTGCACTTGAGGAGGTACCGACAGCATGTTTCCAAGCCGGCCTGTTCCCGAAGCACAAGGGCAGGATACATCATGTAGGCGACATATACAAAGCCTAGTAACTTGGAAGCAAACTTCACAGTTCCATTGGCCAGCATCCAATCTGTCGCGGAAGAGCTCGAAGTCCGTTTTATGCATGTCCACTGTAGACGTGCAACGGGGCCCTGGAGGCTGAACCTAAGAATCAACATGCCAGGTCTAGCAACCAAAAAGAACAACAACGACCTCCTTCAAACTGTACTTGCAGCTTCGGATCAACAGGGTTCATCCTTGTAATATGCAGAAATCGCAGCGGCAAATCGATCAGGGTAGTTCCTTGGCTCGGGTCAGGTTTCTGAATGCTTGATTGAGAAGAGGGAAGCCTGCTTCAAAATTCAGCCTAGGATCTGGGAATCTTTCAGCAGCTTCTTGATACCGGTGAATTTGTTTTGCACTTTGGTGCTTCTGTTCTGATGCTGAACAGAAAGCCGGATCTTGACTAGCTTCTGTCTATCCTCCTGGCTTAGATAACCGCCCATGGCCACCAAGGCTTCTATCAAGCCCTGCCAGTTCGAGAGCAGCAGGTGCCTCTTCAGCGATGGGGCCCCAAAGCAGACCATGTAGAAGTTGCCCCTGAAGACCTGAATCGAGGGGATTTTGGTTCTGAGTGCATGTGGGGGGTAAGATCTATAGTGATGCAGTCGATCAGTTTAGCCCAGCAGCATGGACCCGCTGCAGGAGCCATTCCAGTAATGGGTGATCAAGAATGCAGGATTGAATAGGATGTTCCAGCAGCCATTTGCATTGGCGATATGAGAACACCAGGACAAGTAGCACAGCCCTTGCAAGAAGAGTATTACCAACATGCACAAATCCATAGCCATCATTGCCACCAGGGTTGATAGCAGTGCGTCCTGATGTGTGCCTCGACCTGAGCTTCGGCACAGCAAACCAGACAAACTCCCACAAGCAAGACCTCGAGGACCCATGATCATGTTTAGTGCATTTCAGACACATGATGGAGAAGGAAGCACACGGGAGCCCGATCACAGCCAGGCTGGAGTCCAATTTCAGCCGACGGGCTTCGTTTAATTCCATCCTTAATTACGGACACACATATGGACAAGCCTATGTGCTACAATACCAGATCCGAACAACTATCTTGCTACCTGGTAACAGAAAACCACACGTAGACATCAAGTCGTCTGTCGCAGGGTCGGCATCCAGATCCACCGAAGTTCCAACCAA